CATACTTGTTGAACCTCCAGGTTTCACCATTGTAGGCAGGCTCTGCTTTGAGGTCTGAGTGTAGCGCCAATTGGTAGAGGACTTGCAGGGAACACAGGGGCAAGCACAAGCCTGCGGCAAGCATCCAGAACTCCAGCGCGAACTCCAAGCTCCGTCTAACAGCACGGTGGTCAAAGATGTCCTGGAGGGACCCTGGAACGTGACCGATAAAGTCAGGACCAGGCTCTTATCGATCCAGAGCACAGACTCCCACTTGCAGACTTTTCCTGTCAGCAGGGAGATGACCCTATCTATATCTCCCTGAAACATCTCAAGGCAGTGGTCAATGAAGGGCCTGCACTGTATGACAAAGGTGCAACACTGGCCAGGGTTGCTTATATACCTCTCTGGCATGGCTATCGGGAGTCCAGAAGATCAACGCAGGAGAACAGTGGTAGTGGTGCCTTGCTGGAGCAAGGTGGTAAGCTGCTCAATCTGTGCCAGTGTACCCTGCAACTGGCACTGCATGTCCGCTGGGTCCATGGTATTGGTAAGATATTCTGGTATGAGAAAGCACAATGACCCAAGTCTGGATCACAGGGAATTTAATCGGGGACCAGGCAGACAGAAATGGACTCGGCAAGTAGAACCTTAGTCAGGGTGATGGAGTTCAGAAGCCAGGGAGTCAGTCTAAAACTGGGGGGAGGGGGCACTTGGGGATGTCTGCAGGGAATGAGATTGGGGCAGAATTGGAAGCAGGCAAGCAGGCCAGACATGGTTATTGTATAAAAAGCTGACAGATTTTGTTGAGCATGGACTCTATTCAGCATGAGTGAGGAGGAAGTTCGAATGGTTTGCTGAAAGTTTAGGTTCAGAGTTAGTCCATGTGTATACGTCTAAATGTAAGTATAATGTCCTACAATTAAGTTAGTTGCTTGTTTGGTATTTCTAGTAGTGTGTTTGTTGGATATCTTATTAATCCATTATGATTATTCAGCAGTGTTTATTACCGAATATTCATGTTCTGTTTCAACTGTTACCGTGAGCCTATTCCCTCAATAATCAAATCAAATCCTTGTAGCCAATGATTTACACCCCCTAGGTCTGAGGTAAACTGAGTTAAACAGAATTAATATCTCATTTTCTTACTAGAAGGGCATCCATCAGAGATATTTTTATCTCCATTTCAAGTGCATTTCATCATGGTGGCTCAC